TTCCCAACTAACATGGAGATAACTCAAGATTTGGCTACAGCAAACGAACAAGCCAATAGCTTACTCCATTTCACAGGAATGGGACCTCTAATTCCCCTAGAAGACGATTTTGAATCCTCTGAGGTAGAATCTTTAGCCATACATCATACAGCCAATAGCCCAGGTATGTAGTATTCATAGCCTCACCCCCTTTTGGAAATCTTTACATGAAAAATTTCTCCATCAGATGTTTCTCGAAGTCTTGCAAAGAACTATTGAGTTAAGTATACATATCCACCTGGTAGTTGTCCTGGAGATCTTGCTCTTGAAGCAGCAGCAAATTTGTCAAAGGAGCAGAACAGTACTCGATTACTTCTTGATGAACTATCTGATGAGGTGGAAAGCGAAGCAATGAAAAGTGCTGCGATGTCAATATCCAATCTGTTGAACCCGAGTCAGTAACTTTTGTATCTTCAGTAATGATTCATATGATGCTAACTCACAGTCCTTTACCATCAGCTGAAGAGAACATCCAGTCCGAGTTTTGCACACCTTCGGCTGAAGAGAGCATCTCAACTTTGGTTGATGGTTGCAAGCTACATACCAAAGTTCTTATTTATCTTCGAAAGCAACACCACAGCCAAGCTCAAAAACACAAAGGTAACGAACGCAACCGAATCCATCCAGATGACTTGCGATCATCTATCGATTCCACTACGAATGACGCCAGACCAAATCCCAGTGCCTGCTCAAAGATCATCGCAGTGTATATGAAAGAAACAACTTCGATATCAGTAGGCGCTGCCCGCAAGCACCGATGCAATTTACATGTCAAAGTCAACATGGCTGGACTAGTCCAAAACAGTTCCTTTCATCAAGACCTCAACATGCAAGCTCTTTTTGATGGAGGTATCATCAGTCGGGAGAACCCTCTTGAACCGGGTAAATTCATCATCATAATCAAGAATAAGGTAATTATTTTGCTTTTTTCAACCTCGTCCACCTTTCCATGAAAGATAACAAGATTGTTTTGTAATATAGGTACTATACCTCGGGCGTGCTCTGGTTGTGTGCAAGTATAGCAGCGGAAAACACAGCTTTGTGAACAGCGCAATATCTCGAAAGGAGCTATCACATATTGCTGCACATATCCTCTTCTTCAATCCAGCTTGGCCAGTGGCCACATCCACCCGGGATATGGCTGGCTGTGAAGCTTGGACGTTTGCTCTGTTGGATGCTGTCGACATAGCCTACGTTTTCAAACCTTCAGATGGGTCAAACTTCGCATCAATGGATGGTGGATGCTACTCCCTTCCACTTGTCTTAAGAGAGATGTTGGGAGGTTCAGATATTGCGTAATTAGTCAATCGATATGAGACAGAGGTCTCACGTTTGAAGGCCAAAAAACAACCTGTGGTTCAGCACAAAAACAAACCTGAATCAAGTGACTCCAACTGAAATTCAGTCGCTTTCTCTACAGTCACCCCTATTGAATATTCCACCATTTCATAACTTTCACTCTATCTTATCTTCGCTTCTACACACTCATTCACTTCTTTCTTTCTCTTCAATCTCATCTGCTCAAGGTTCTTCTTTGCGTACTCAGTTACTGTTTGTTTTTTCTTCTGCACACTCGTTCATTTCATTTTTTCTTTCCTACACACTCGTTCACTTCGTTTTTTGTTTTCTACACACTCGTTCACTTTTTTTTTGTTTTCTACACACTCGCTCACTTCGTTTTTTGTTTTCTACACGCTTGGTCACTTTTTTTTTGTTTTCTACACACTCGTTCACTTTTTTTTTTGTTTTCTACACTTATTTGATTTTATTTACCTCTTTTATTGTTGTTTTTCTTTTGGATATATAAATGTTAGACCCTCTAAGTCCCCTACATGTTTTTTGAAATGTACGTGACGAAAATGGTCAGGTTTAGAGGGATGTTTTGCCTTTTTCCTAGTTCGGTCCCAAAAATGGTCAGGTTTTTTGTCACGGGGCTCCGCAGGAGCATTCCAGGGTCCTATGGTGGTACTCGAGAATAGGTCTATACCTTATTTCGAGACTACCACTTACGGGGCGAGAACAGACCTGAGAAGGTTCAACTTCTCAACCCGGGAGGTGGGTGGGTTTTTTATAAATTTTCTAAAGTCAAAGATTTTTAGAAAAGAAACTTGATTCCTTGATGAGGAAGCACAAGTGCAGATAGGAAGTTGATGAGATGGATTTTCCAGCTAGACAGAAATGTTAGAACAATATGGAAAGGTGAAGAGAAACCAAATCCAGCTAACAATTCGTAATACAATATATAAACTAACTAATGCTAATAGTTAATAGAGAGATTGAATGAGAACTATGTATTAGCATATAACAATGATGTCATACACGACAAACACAACTGTGACATTCATAACACCCCCCCGTGCTAATAACATACTTTTTATTTAAAAAACATTTAAAGCCAACCTATGTCTTACCAACAAAATCTTAGATAAACCTTTAGTAAACATATCCGCCAACATCTTTGAAGATGACACATGAAATAACTTAACAATCCCTTCCTCAACACACTGCCTGACAAAATGAAATCGTGTATGAATATGCTTTGTACAAGAATGATGTGATGGATTTTGAGCCAGGGCTTCAGCGCCTTCATTATCCACACACAATTTAAATGATTTCTCCGTCGAAATGTTTAATTCATTTAATAACGACACTAACCATCTTGCTTCCCTGCATGAGTCACTCATTGCCATATATTCAGATTCAGTGGTTGATAAACAAGTTGTTTGTTGTTTTTGTGATCTCCATGAAATAGGTCCATTCCCAAGCATAAAAACATACCCTGTTGTCGACCTTCTTTCATGCCTATCTTTTGCCCAGTCAGCATCTGAATACGCTGTAGGGACCAATTCCTTTCCTCCTAAATTTAGTTTCCAATCTTTTGTTTTTACCAAATACCCTAAAACTCTCATTGCTGCATTCCAATGCCCACTTGAAGGATTTTTCAGAAATTGTGACAATCTATTCACAACAAATGCAACATCTGGCCATGTGCATTGCGCTACCCATAACAACCCTCCTATCAAGCTTGAATAAGGATTTTCTGTAAGTACATCTTTATCATTTGATGGAATTAAAGCCTTGAAGTTATCATCGTTTGGAGTTTCATATAATCTAACCTTGTTCTTCATGAATTGCTTTTCCGAATTAGATATATAATGAGTTTGATCCATTGTGACTTTGTTTCTCAACGACTTTAGAAATGTTAAATGATAGAAAGTGTGAAAGTTCTTTATCAGATGATACTTCAAATCGTCCTTTGAGTAGAGTGCGAAAGTCTTTAATTTCAACGTCAGTTCCAGTTACTGCAATGTCATCAACATGAGTAACAAGTAAAGCTTTGATTTGATCATTTTTGTCTTTCTTGTAGTATAAAGAAGGATCATGTTGTGATCGAATGTAACCAATTGAAATAAAAAATTCATGTAATTGATGTTCCACTGACGCGGTGATTGCTTTAAACCGTACAATGATCGAAGTATTTTACTAGGTACTGGGGGGCCTGCCACCCTCTAGTCCCCCCTCCTGACTGGTGTGGTTTACTGGCCAGCATATACTCCCAATTTTCAATGCATCCTTGCTGTGCCTTTAATCTACCTATGTTATCTTATCAAATTATGTCCCAATACCGCTTGCCCTAACTTCAAAAATAAATACCAAGGGTATTTCAAGTCATGTGGTGGGCGTGGGTTCTGAACTTTCCAAAGGTGTGCCTGTAGTGGAGGTACTGATGCATGCCTCTGAGGTGTTAAGATCCCCCCAAAAGCAAGAAAGGTGAAAAAAATGCTCAAACAACATCAGAAATAGCATCTTCTGTATTCCATAACAGCACTTCTGTACATTTTATCAACAGTCACAAAAGTTAATCATAAAAAAGCTCATCCTCATCCCAATACTTGTTTCCAGACCCCTCATCTAAGACAGTAGTAGCTGACAGTGGCTTTGAGATTGGGGATGTGTTGTAAGTTGAGCACTTTGAGGTGTAATTTTTTTTTGATCCTAAACACATAGTTTCGGCCATAATCCCATGGTAACTGGGTGGAATAGACCTAAAACTAACACGGGCACACCAACCCCAAAATCAAGCCCAAAGGGCCTGCTCCAAAGGTGTGCCCCTGAGGCAGGTAAACTGCGCTAGGCCCACCACATGAATTTCAAGCCACTTGCACTGTGCATATGTTACTTTTACCATCAGCTGATCACAATCCTATATATTTGTTTGCCACATGTGCCACTGGATTATTCAGCAATGGTTTGTTTTTAAAATAATACACCCACATATCTTCCAATTGTTTACTTCCTTTACCGCTTGATCAATGGGGTTGAAATTGACATCCCATACAAAACAACAGAACACATTAATCATTCTAATACCTTACTCCCTAGATTTCTAACCCTCCAAACAGAGCTTGAATTTGACCCATCCCTTCCAAAAGATCATTTTATTGATCCCCAATTTAGGTAGAAGAGTAATTTAAATTTTCTTAGTAGGACCAAACATGATGTGTCCAGGTTTACTTCACCACGTGCAACATTTCCAGATGATTCACCAATGAATTCACCAGTAGCAGTGCATGCAGACGGAAAAGATCAGCTTGTGCCATTGCATTTACTCAAATGAGTGGAGAAGAAAAAGATTGATGAAGGGGTTAAATTTAATAATGTGCATTAGCTCATCGATGATCTATGGTGTATCATTAAAATCTACACAAATTTTTTTGTGAAATTTACAATATGTTTACCATTTTATTCATTTCTCAAATTTGGAGATTTTTGGGAAAGAGGTAAAGGGATGAGTCAAATTCAATAAATTCCACTCTATATTGATTATCTTGAGAAATTATAAGGCATTGTGTTGAACAATTTTGATCAGTTTTTTGCTCATAAATTCATGTAAAAATTTCAATACTAATCATTTTGGCCTTGTTCAGCTCTTAATTAGAATTATCAGGTCAAGTTTCATTTCAATCAATTAGATCAATTACAAATATTTCTGAGATATTAAATCCATTTATGATACAAATTTGATCAACTTGATCAGCACCAGATGGAGTGGCATATGAGACAATCAATGCTTGAATATTTGGATCTGTGGCTGTTGGTCCATGTAAGTTTTTGACTAATCTTGTATGTTCTTCAAGTGAAGCTTGTAATTCTGTTTTATAGTTTTTGTTGATTAACAAATTATCATCTATTTGGAACACACAAAATAAATTAGTTGAAGAATTCCAATGAGTTCTATTTGTTGCTTTTTTATTTCTTTAGATATCAGAGTTTAATTCTTACCTGGTACACCTACATTATTTCATGATTTGATAAAAAGGCTGTGATACATAGTTCATAAGATTTTAGAACCAGAATGTAAGTGGTCACATGTGCCACCTAAAGCAACTACATGAAACTTGATTTCGAGCTTGAGTGTAATCTCATTTGATTGTTTGATTTTAGATGTTGTATCAATGGAGGCATTATAGCTTTCAGATATAAAGATGACAGATTGTAAATTGTAAGCATTGGGTTTTGTAAAGTTTTCAAATCGATTCATTTGGAATTTAATTCAAGTGGATCAAGTTGAATTTGAATTGAATTGATTGGCTTCTTAAATCATTTCGTTCATCACAACATCTCATTCTTTCATTGAAGACTTCAATTTGTTGTTGAGCATTCACAGACATGTGGAGAATTGGTTTCTTGAGAAGTCTTGATAACAATCAATTCTTTTCAATGAATGATTGAGACGTTTGCAGAGTTGTCATCAGTAGAGTTTGATCAACTATCCAGACTTGCGTGAATAAGTGTGACCATCAAATTTGGTGATTGATGGAGATTGATTTTGACTATTCAAGGATGTAGCAAGAACTGGATTAGAAGACATACCTTTATAAACAATTTGCAGATGAGTTTAAATTTGAATTGGCTTTAGAATATGTTGGACTGATAGGACTACTCAAGAAAACAGCTTCAGAAGATTAAAGTGAGTTAGGCTTTGCAGCAGAACTGATTGTTAATAATGAGTAATTAGTTTGAACCTTTTCATGGATTAGAAATGTTTAGTTCATTGAGCATCAAGATGAATTCCAACCCATTCCACCAATTAAGAACAGGTTAGTTTTCTTTTTGGATGAGTTTTATGACATTAATTGATTGGATTGGGTTTGGGTTTTCAGGTTCTTGATCATCCAGACTCACTAAACCCAACATTTAATCAATCTTCAATTTTGAGTCTTCAAACTTTACCTTCAAGCCTTTTCTTGTCAGTCTATGCTCGAGATGATCTATTATCTTCTTGAGTCCCATCTAATCTTCTCATCTACATCTTATCTATTTCAAAAACATTAGAAGATATTGGTTTGTTTGGAAAATCAGATGAGATTCCAATCCAAAGCGGACCCAAACATTCAAGTTCATCAAATCGACAATCAGATTACGAACCAGAACAAACCCAAGGTGTTTTTCAAACCGTTAAGGATTGGTTTAAAAATCCTACAGAGATAAAGTCCAGAGGAGGTATGCAAGATTGTAGGATCACTGATCAAGTTGGTTTGGCCGATTCAAAGATTGAGTTTAATAGGAGTTGAATGGTTTGTTTCTTTGATCAAGTTGAACTGTTTTATGTTGGGAATTGAGAATTAGAATTAGATGTAGATTTAGAAATGGAGGGGATTGAAAAGCATCAAGGGTTCCAGTTCTTGTTCTAAAAGTTTAATGAAGAATGAAATCCACTTATTGGAATCAACGTGCAGAAATTTAATTGTTGTTTGGGTTTGGTTATATAAGGCCTCTTTGGTGGTTGTTTGTTTCTTTCTGTCTTTTTTCTTGACCCCCATACAGTCGATTTGGACCAAGAGAACGATTTGAAGTGTATATATTGATTTATTCGATTGAGAAAGGTGGTCAATAAAAAAATCTGGTGAAACTCTGAATGTTTCTTATTGCCATCAATGATTGGGAACCATGGCAAAGGGTGACTGTGTGAGACCAGGGTAGGATTTGGAGTAAGGAGTTTACCGTGTAGATTGCAGCGGCTGAGCAAGACGTGAGTGATGTCAAAATCTAGTTCAAGTGTGTTGACCTGGTTGGTCAAAAGTGTCATTGGCTGCTAGTTGAGAACAGAGCAGTGGTTGATGTATGAATTTAGATTGGTAGCTGGAAGATGACAACAGCAAAGGAAACGGGCAAGTCAAGTGTGGTAAGTGTGGGAGGTTGGACAGGTGGAGTATTCAGGCAACTACCCAGGGAAAAGAGGCAAAGAGGCAGTTCCCAACTCTTGATATGGGCCAGGCACTGTAGGCCAAAAAGGGAAAGATGCAGTTGCCAGGTACTGGTATCATATATGAGAAGAGGTAGAGGTAGGTGGAGGGATCAGTATAGGTCAGTACAGGGCATAGGCAGAGCCTAGAATGCCAGGGATAGGGAAATGAAGACTGAGGCAGGGAGACAGTTGGGAAGAACATTTCTTTAAGTATATAGATATACCCAGTCCGAATGATCTTTATCTTCAAAACCCTCAGCCTGTTGCATGTAAATTTCTTCATCTAAGTCACCATTAAGAAACACCGTTTTGATATCACATGACACTCCTTTCCAGCCTTTTTGAGCCATTAAAGGAAGAAATAATCTAACTGATTCTTGACGACTAGTGGGAGAAAATACCTCAGAAAAATCTACTCCTTTGATCTGAGAAAAACCCAATGCAACTAAACGAGCTTTTAACTTATCAATAGACATGTCAACATTTTTTTTTGTTTTCAAGATCCATTTGCACCGAATTATTTTTCTTCTAGCCGGACGAGGAACAAGTCTCCACGTTTCTTTACCAACCAACGAACTCATCTCAGCCTCAGCAGCCAACTTCCAAGAATCCCAGTTGACCGACTTCTTGGCTTCAAACAAATGGAAAGTATGTTCTTGACGTTCATGAATACCCAAGAGTGAAATTGGTGTTTGAAATTTGTCGTTTGTCCTAGTCGGCATGTTATTCAACGTCTCCGTGGCATACAACATAGCGTCTCCCCAAAATGTATGCGGTAAACTTGCTTCAATTAAACAGCATCTTATCTTCTCTTTAATAGTCCTGTTAAATCTTTCAGAAACATCATTTAGTTGAGGAGAATCAGGCGGGCCAGTAGTTTGAAGAATACCCTTTTCAGAACAGAATTGAGTGAAACCAGAGTTGATGTATTCCGTCCCATTATCAGTTCTCAATTCAGAAATAATCTTATTTACTTTTGAAGTCATCTCATTGTAATATAATTTAAATTTTGAAAGCACTTCATCTTTTGTGCGCATCAAATAAACTTTTGTATATTTTGTGAAATCATCAATAAAAGTTACAAATTATTTATATCCTTGTCGAGATACAACTGAGTAAGATGAAACATCTGAATGTATAACCGCTAATGGACTTTCCGATCTCCAACCTGCACAACTTGACATGTTCCTACGTCTCATCTTTCCTTGAATACAAATATTACATGTTCGTAATTTCCTCAGCTCCTTTTCATCAACTTGAATCTTAAGCAAAGAAAGTTTTCTTTTTAACACGGCGTATCCTGGATGATTAAACCAACAATGCCATAGATCCACATCAGAAACAGATGCCTTTGAAAATTTGTCAAAAGGTTCTAGTTCACTTACCTCACGATTAAGATAGTATAAATTTCCTTTTTGATCACCAGTACCAATTACCTCCCCTGACACTTTACAGCTTTTAACAAAAGAAACACTAGTACAATTAAATACAGTACTTATGTCTTTGTCAGCAAGCTTCAAAACCAATAATAGTGGTTCGGACAGAGACGGAACATAGAGTGATTTGATGTTCTTGAAATTATGAAACGGTAAACTAGTCATGCCTTTGAAAGTTGATTTGACGATCGAGCCATTTGCCAAACTAATGGTAGTATCACCTGGTTTCTTGTTAATAAGAACACCAGACACAGGAGTCATTATTTGGGAAGTGCCTGAATCTACAAGCCATTCATTTGTCTTGACCAAAGAAGCATTGATAGCAGCTGCCGATGAAATCTCTGAGTTGATATCAATTGACTTATCTGATTCAGATACAGCATAGGAAGTTGACACTGCTTTTGCTGCTTTTGCTCTTTTTATCGCACTTTTCGTAGGAGGCTTTGGTTGTTGAGATTCAGATTTTTCAGCTTTCAAAATCTTGTATTTTTCAATCATCGATTTCAAAATTCGACAGTCATCAATCAGATGGCCTGATTTGCTGCGATGAGAACAGATCTTCTCCTTCCCTTGATTCTTAGCAGAGGAAATAACTTCAATTGACTCAGATGACATAGAACGACAAGTCGCTTGCTTGCGTAAAACTTTCAGGATGGTAGTTGACAAAACATTGTCTTGTTGAAGTAAAGGAGCTAAAACCGGTTGCCAGTCCGGAGTTAGAGAGAGACTAACTGCCGTTGCAAATATTGTATCTGCAGTGAGAGGCTTCTGAGGTGTGATGAGTGATTTACAACGTTGGTAATCAGCCGACATAGTCTCAAGATGTGTTGTAATGGACGCATCACCCATCTTCGCAGTTACGAGTTTCTTGAACCAGAACATAATCAATCCGGAAGAAGCATCTTGATGAGCTTCCTGTAAAGCTTTCCACTGCTTCAATGGATCACCTTGAAAGGGAGATAAGAATTTGTAGTTTGTTGGATCTACATATCGTAGAAGTAGAGCAGATACTTTATATCTGTCATGTTCTTCAGTCGGAGGTAAAGGATGGGGTTGAACATCCCCAAGGACATATCCGTATGCCAATCCTCTTATAACCGTTCCCATTACGAACTGCCAATGATGATAATTGGAATTTTTACCAGGAGGTTCCAATTGTTTTACACCCGTAGCATCTAATCGTTCATTATTATACAATAAGGCTGTGCTTGGTTTAGATTCAAGTCGACTAGATTCAGATCGAATAGACTTTGGTCAAGCGGTGTTTGGGGATAACGAAGAAGATTGGAGACTAGATCTATCTCCAGCTGTGGCAGTAGGAGCAGACATGACGAGATAATGAAAGAGTGTTTTAAGAAGTTAAAGGAAAATCTCCAAATATACAGTTTCCTGACGTTCGAATTAAGATTTCGGAGAATTTTGTCGATTGACTTTGAGTATATCGTCTGTTTGTACAGATGGACCTTTCTACGTGGTTTTCTAGATGGTTTTCAGGAGTTAAACTTCCTTTGGAACCGTTTTTCAAGCTGAATTTTCTCAAAAATTAATGTGAGATGGTGCTCATGATAATCTGATGAGATGGATTTTCCAGCTAGACAGAAATGTTAGAACAATATGGAAAGGTAACTATTGCATCAAGTCATAGAACTTACCTAGACAGAAATGTTAGAACAATATGGAAAGGTGAAGAGAAACCAAATCCAGCTAACAATTCGTAATACAATATATAAACTAACTAATGCTAATAGTTAATAGAGAGATTGAATGAGAACTATGTATTAGCATATAACAATGATGTCATACACAACAAACACAACTGTGACATTCATAACAGAAGTGATTTTAGAGAGAAGGTGA